ATAATAAAAATAATACTATTCTTCTATGGCACTGATTATACAGAAACCACTCAAAAAGAAGTAATTCTCCCTCTGTTCTTTAAGATATAGTCATCCACTTCTCATCCATTTCTAAATAAGGATTAATAATTTCAAAAATGTCATTTCAATGTAAGGACTTTTTATATGTTTTTTGGGGCTGGATATATATGTTACAGCAATCCTTATCCTTAAAATATATATAGAGAGATATACCCATGGAATAAGGTTCTATCACCATACTTTTAATTCAGATTTTCACGTTACCAATATAAAGAACAACATTACAAAGTGATTTCAGGAAAAACTAATCAATAATCCAGCTTTATCATCTCTCAGATTTTCTTCAAGTTTTACTAATGAAAATTGTATGCTTACTTATAAAATACATAATGCAATTCAATTTATTTAGGCAAGTTCTACCTTTTGTTTTTGTTTTTTATTTTTTAAATCATCATGATTCAGTGGTGGTTTCTGTGCATAGGTTTAAATGCCGAGGTGCCATGCAATGAAAACACACAATCCAAGTGATTCAGAAAAGTATTCAGTAAGAAAAATGATGACATCTCTTATAAATTCTGGTCAGATAAGAAATGAGCAAACTATTCTGCAATGACTCTAAGTTTTGATTAGTAGGCAGCTGATACTCGAAAAGGACAAAAAGATGCTCCCATAAAAAAGGATGCATCAGAAGAGTAAGCTGCACTTAAGACAAGCCAAAAACAAAGTATCAGTTGCCTTTTTATTTAGAGAGATCAGTGCCTTTGTTTTGTTTTATGATGAAATATGCTAAGTGCTAAAATGGGTAATAGAAACAAATGTTGACTGCTCTCCAAAGCTTTATAGCACTTTGAAGGAGCTAGTAATATTGTTACTGAATATTCCGGTCTGATGTGTCCCTTTAAAAAGATAAATAAATACATAATGGTTAACTGAAGCCTAAATTGTTTAGTTTAATTCTACTGCACTCTGCTATGCAACTGCACAGAAAGGTGCTGGCTTATTTTGAGATGGTATGAAATTAACTCAGAATATGGAAACTCATTTCAGTTAAAACTCCCTTCTCACATTTCTAAGTAGCTTCCATGGCTGTTTAAGCTTTTTCTAGAAAAATTCAAATAATCTAGCAAACTAATATAAAATATAGAATATTTGAATTGGTGAAAATAAAACTGTATGTCTATTAATACTAATGACTTTGGGATGGATGGTTTCTTTTTGGATGAGATTATATTAACTACATTTTTCATAGCAAAAAAACCAGGGATAAACAATAAATTACAAACTATATAAAACTATAAAACATTCATATGACGTAATAAAAACTACATATAGGCATTAAAAGAACGAGATATACTATTAAGTAC